CTGAACATCAAGCAAAGGATCATAGAATCATAGAATATCAGGGTTGGAGGGGACCCCTGAAGGTCATCTAGTCCAACCCCCTGCTTGAAGCAGGACCAATTCCCAGTTAAATCATCCCAGCCAGGGCTTTGTCAAGCCTGACCTTAAAAACCTCTAAGGAAGGAGATTCTACCACCTCCCTAGGTAACGCATTCCAGTGTTTCACCACCCTCTTAGTGAAAAAGTTTTTCCTAATATCCAATCTAAACCTCCCCCACTGCAACTTGAGACCATTACTCCTCGTTCTGTCATCTGCTACCATTGAGAACAGTCTAGAGCCATCCTCTTTGGAACCCCCTTTCAGGTAGTTGAAAGCAGCTATCAAATCCCCCCTCATTCTTCTCTTCTGCAGGCTAAACAATCCCAGCTCCCTCAGCCTCTCCTCATAAGTCATGTGTTCTAGACCCCTAATCATTTTTGTTGCCCTTCGCTGGACTCTCTCCAATTTCTCCACATCCTTCTTGTAGTGTGGGGCCCAAAACTGGACACAGTACTCCAGATGAGGCCTCACCAATGTCGAATAGAGGGGAACAATCACGTCCCTCGATCTGCTCGCTATGCCCCTACTTATACATCCCAAAATGCCATTGGCCTTCGTGGCAACAAGGGCACACTGCTGACTCATATCCAGCTTCTCGTCCACTGTCACCCCTAGGTCCTTTTCCGCAGAACTGCTGCCTAGCCATTCGGTCCCTAGTCTGTAGCGGTGCATTGGATTCTTCCATCCTAAGTGCAGGACCCTGCACTTATCCTTATTGAACCTCATCAGATTTCTTTTGGCCCAATCCTCCAATTTGTCTAGGTCCTTCTGTATCCTATCCCTCCCCTCCAGCGTATCTACCACTCCTCCCAGTTTAGTATCATCCGCAAATTTGCTGAGAGTGCAATCCACACCATCCTCCAGATCATTTATGAAGATATTGAACAAAACCGGCCCCAGGACCGACCCTTGGGGCACTCCACTTGATACCGGCTGCCAACTAGACATGGAGCCATTGATCACTACCCGTTGAGCCCGACAATCTAGCCAGCTTTCTACCCACCTTACAGTGCATTCATCCAGCCCATACTTCCTTAACTTGCTGACAAGAATACTGTGGGAGACCGTGTCAAAAGCTTTGCTAAAGTCAAGAAACAATACATCCACTGCTTTCCCTTCATCCACAGAACCAGTAATCTCATCATAAAAGGCGATTAGATGCTTCAAGTTGGAACTATCCTTTGTTTCCAAGGACTGAGACACTAGAGGTTGGATTGTTTGGACTCCCAGGTCATGGAGCATTCATCTGTATATTTAGATATTGGACACTGGGTACACTGTACTATGGTATGTATAACTACCATTGGGGCTGTCCTCCTGGAATCAGCCCACATACTGACTCAGGTCTTGCCTCTACTCTGATAAAGGTGTTGCTTTGTTTTTGATGGCAGTGTCCATTTTAGGGGTTAACTCCTGCCTCTCCACCAGGCAGGGGGAGGGGTTGGGTTTAGTCAGGGACAAAGGCGTTGTCCCAAGAATGTAGTCTAGAATCTGGGAACCACCCTACCCACCTCTAGGTGCCCTCACTTAGCAAGAGACAGTAATTTATCTTAATATAGAATTTTTCCAAAAACAGGTACAATAACTTGTAGAGTATAGGAACTTACCTCTGGGAGTTTTGGTTTTGGGTTTTTTTCAAGACAAAGTTGGTTAGTTGATGCCTCCTTGAGTATTATTCTAGCGATGCAATTGGAGTTTCATATTTATTTAACCTGTTGTTTCATTCACTCTCTATTACAGCACAGGAACTGTCTCTGCCTGGATTCAGTTGAGTTCTGAAATTTTCTCTCGCAGATTTGGGAGTTTTCAAAAAGTTAAGTTTGTTTGCTTCGAAGTGTGTAACAAAGACCACCATGACCACAGAAGTTTAGATTAGTGCCCCATTAGCCTACATCAGGTCAAACCACTACCTCCAAAATTGCTAGATGCCATTTTCTGTGGGGCAGGCCAACTTCTGGGCACAGAACACAGAAACTTACTTTGATAGCCCTCCCCCCACCTCCCGTTATCTTTTCAATATGGCATTACCAGTTGGATCCATCATGATCTGTTGATGTTATTTGGCTGATGTGTTCCCAGTGCCAATGTATGGTAAGCCCATCTTGTTTGGCTCATGCCCCATTCACTACCTGGAATTGCTGCTGTTGGGAAGGATGGATGAAGAGGGATGTATCACAATAGAAGATTACTCACTGGTAATGATTGTCTCATAGTCCTCATCCATCCTCCACTTCAGGCTTGTGGCTTGACATTTGTTCTCTTATCTATTATTCTGTATTTGAATGGACAGATCAGTGTTTATATGTTAGTCTTGGTAAACGTTTATTTGCCTCTTTGCTTCTGGTCAGCGAAGCCATACTGCTGGAAGAAGAGAGGACTCTGGCAAATAAAATTATTGGTGAGTAATTTTCCCTTAGTAATCTTTGGGTATATTTGGAAGTGCTTTGATAGAGTAGACACTAATTTTTATAATAGGATGTGATCCTTTTCAAAATTTGACATTTGTTTCCATATGATATTTGGCATTATCCTTTCTATTGTTTGCTATATTCTGTAGTTATCAACAGCTTACCCTCCAGTAGGTGTTTGTAATTTTTTTCTGCATTTCTACTTTATAATGAGCCATCATTTTGCCATGACTATTGTATAGGTAGAAAGTTCGACATTTCTACCTTTTCCAATTTACATTCAAAAGCACTAAGCATAACTTATGGGGATAATATTAGTGTATGATCTCATCTATAAACCTCCATGCCTAGTTTATTTGAACATACTGATGTTCACACAGCACCAGAGTATTGAGACCCTTTCTAGCTAGGACAATGAGGGTGTAGGTGTGGCCTACTTCAGTAAATTAAATACAGTTTTGTTCTTGTAATTCTCATTGGGGATGGACATAACCTTCCTGAGGACCAAAGAGCAGCCACTGTGGAGCAGATCAGCAGCAGAGGCAAATGACCATAGCAGGTTGTTGACCATATTTGCTGTGGATCTGTGTGGAACAACCAGTATATGTATATGGACAGGGATTGTGTCCCTTGCCTCCCTTACCAGAAGCTGGGAATGAGTGACAGGGGACAGATTACTTGATGATTACCTGTTCATCCCCTCTGGGGCATCTGGCATTGGCCACTGTCAGAAGACAGGATACTGGGCTAGATGGACCTTTGGTCTGACCCAGTATGGCCACTCTTATGTACTATAGCATCCATGTGCTCTGACAGAGCCAATTTCCAGTATGGTGCACAATAAAAAAGACAGGCAGAAAGAATATCTTTCTCCCATCTCCAGCAAACTTGGGCCTAAGCACTCACTCAGACTTCAAAGGGCTTCCTTACATAATGCCTGGACCAGTACTTGGTTTGGAAATGATGTCCTAAATGGACATTATCGGTCTACGCGGAAGTGATTTTAAGGTCAGGCTTGACAAAGCCCTGGCTGGGATGATTTAGTTGGGGATTGGTCCTGCTTTGAGCAGGGGTTGGACTGGATGACCTCCTGAGGTCCCTTCCAACCCTGATATTCTATGATGGGAGAGAGATGCTTTTGCACTATGAGTGGGGCTTGAGATAAGTTCCCAGATCCCATTGCCTTTCTGACATGCTTTTAAACACGTTACACTTGTTCTTCCTCCAACATGGCTGGGATGGGTTCTATTTGCTCCTTCAAGGGGGAAGAAGTTGAATAGTTGTTATGGGTCCCTTTATCCTTCTACCTCTCTATATGACTTATACCATTCCAATGCCATCATCCTCTGTAGTCACAACCAGTAGATGAAAGGTGACTTAATTCAGATCCTTGCATTAGCAGTGACCCTGGAAGTGTGCTTCACAGCACATTTAGCAAGAGCCATGGCTAAATACCAGAAACTCATAAAACATTTACCTCTGTGATTGGATGTGTAACATACGAACATTAAACACTTCACACAAAAGGGAACAAAACTCTTCCCTACCCTCTTATGCCAGCTTTCCTACCCTGTTCACACTAAATACCTGAATTAGACTCCTAGAATATTACTTTACCAATCCAGCACTACAGGAATTCAAGCCCTTGTTGCAGAATCTTGAAAGAATTTACAAGACCAAACCCATTCCATCTCTGCATGTTTATCTTAACCTTTATGACAGAGTTGGTGCTATGCTATAATGAAAACAAAGGAACAGTCAGCGGGACCTACGTGAACAATCAAGAGTTCATAAGTACTAGGTTAGCCTTTGTATACCAGTGATGAAGAACTGACTGAGTGGGAGGGAAAGAGCTCTATTTTATTTTAATGTGACTGGCTGGCTGTTTTATGTAACTGGTAATAGTTTTATTGGAAAGTTAGAGGAATACCACAACCTCTATCAGATCTTTCATACAGCTGAAAGATGAAGCAGCCAGCCATTCATCTCCAACATCCACAGGGAGAGGATGGCCTGTCACATTTTTCCATATAAAGAAATGAATACAGCTTACCCAAACTGAACAATCCACCTATATGATGATGTGTAACTAGAACATGGATTAGTAGTAGTCTATTGAAAAAAGCCTAGAAAAGTTTTTTCGACAAGTTAGCTATATCGTTCCTCCAGAAAGATGTGCCAGTGCTGTTTTTAATGGAATGGTGGCAGGAAAGTCAAAAACTTAGTTACCATAGCTATAGTATTCTAGGGCTTCATCAGGTCCTAGCTGCACTGTACATGCTTTTTTCTGACCTTGGTTTCACCTCATTACACTGATTTATCTTACTTGAACAAGAAATGTGTAAGCCTTTTTTTGACATCGAAGTTACCTTGAACTTCATTCCCCCTTTTTACATGGTGCACTGCCTCCCAGTCCATCTCAGATTGAGGAAGAAGTGTTACCAGAAATCAGATGAAAACTGTTTTCAGGGAAACATGCATTTATTGTTAAGCATTCCCAGTGAAAATCAACATCTTTTAAAATGTGTATTTATTTAAAAAATCATTTGTGTACAAAAGTGTTGTGTAGTTTTTATTCTCAAGACAAAAAACACTGATGCTTCAGTCCAGCCCACTCCCACTCACCCTTTACAGGAAATTAAATGCTCAGTAACAAACCTTCTCCAGTATTCTTTATTAACTTTTAAAAAAAATCAAAATTTGAGATGGAAAAGGTATCTCACAAGTGGGATTCTTCAACAGTTGAAATCAGCATTCCTATGATAGCAGCATCCTTCAGCATGAGCAGTTGTTGCAAATTGTAAAACGGATAATACAGCACTTTCATAGTACATTTCCTCATCTGAGAGTTAGGTATTTCAACTTACGTTTTCAGTGAATGGTTCAGCCTCATAAGCAATTGGCTAGCTATTTTTTATGCTGCCCACAAGCAGGTAACGTCACAGTACAGTGCAAATTATTTGCAACAATTGGTCCATGGGTAACAAATCTGAAAAGTAAAGTTGCTGAGGTTGCCTACAGAGCATTATAGTTGAAATAACCAAATGAGAAGCAACACATACCTTGCATGTCTAATGATGTATCAGCTAATGAAGCTGTAACAGTAAAAGTGGGAAGGTCATAGTATATGTTTTTACTGAAATATGTTTAATATGGATCAGCAGTCTAACTGAAGACAAATGATAAACACTTTTCTGTCACCAAAGCAACATTTGGAAAATTAGGCTATTAACAGTGAAAACATCTACATGCTCTTCCCAGAAAAGCTTTACTTCATGTTTTACTATTGTGATGTAGTAAAAAGCATGGGAAAATGAACATTTTTAACTGTCCTCTGCTTAGCCAATTGCTGTCACATGTTCTACAAAACAATCCATGATCACATCCACTAAGAGTCTTTGGTTTCTCTACACAAACATTTAGTTCTCAGCAAGCTGGGGTATAAATCTATCATGTACTAACAGTTCCTTACAGTACTTGGAGCTATGCTGCTTTGAAACTGGAGTAGCTCAAAGCACAGTAAGGAACTATTAGTACAGAATAGGTTTATACCCCAGCTTGCTGAGAACTAAATGTGTGTGTAGAGAAGCCCTTCCACTCCAACATCACAATCACCTAATCCCATTTGTCCCCCTTGAACACGTGTTCAAAATATTTTAGCCGTGTAAGTAAGTTTTAGTTAACATTGGCCCTTCCTGGGCTTCTCTCTAACAATAATAAGCTAGGCTCTGTTTGTTGCTTCCATAGGAAGCAAGCAATGGGCATGCACACAGTTAAGCCGCCCCTGGCTCTGAAAGCTGACCTCTTCATATTAATGACAGCCACCACAGTAAACAAGAGCTTTTACTTGAAATCGTATTTTGTTTTCCATTAAATAAGTGATCTGTACTCTCTCACCTGCCAGGTCTGACTTCCAGCTGTTTTATGAAGGTTAATTTTGCATAGTTTAAGTGTTTCCATTATCCACATCACAGAATGTAGATCTGCTGTTTCAAGATAAGTCTCTTTTTGGCTAATGAATTTCTCCTTTCAGACACCAGATGCAAACATCAGTGTTCCCAATCCTAATTTACTTGAAAGAAAAAAGTTAAATACAATGAAAATCAAGAACAAACTTTAAGTTCAACAAAATTTGTAGTACCTAATTCCATAAATAAATACTGCCTGACTGATTACAGTCAAGGCCCCATGTACTCTGTGGCAAGCTGGACCTAAATTCTGCTATAAGGCCCCTAGTTTAGGCAGTACTCTGAGACTGGAAACTTGTGGCAAATTCAGGTAAATCAGAAAATGGAGCCTTTTACTTAAATGTGGTGTAACATCAGTAGTGTCCTTTTTATATTGTCCGTAAGTTTTAGTTTCCCTATGTGAGTTTCTCATATTGAGAACTTAAAAATCGTGGGGTTTTTGGCAACTAGATGGGGTATAAATGGACCTTTCGGCACCCGTGAGGGAGTTGAAGCTATTGGCAATAGGAAAGGCAACTTTTCTTTGCCTCTGAATAAGGTCAGAAGCTACTTCAAAATTTGTGAGGGGCAAGAAAAGACTGAAATTTCTTGTTCACCAACAACACTATCCGAAAACAACTGATAAACTACATTAACTAGATGTTGGTGCTAAAATGTTCAGCAGTGAAATTTAGCTGACATTTAGGGAGTCACTAAGTTACAGCATTAACACCTATTGAGATAAATGGGGTTGTTCAGACTTCACAGTTATTATTTTAAACTGTCTGCTTGCAGACTAAGGAAGATGACAAGGCATCAATTTACATTTAGAAATTATTTGCAGCCATTATGCCTAGATGTTTTTAAACTAAGTGTAAATGTGCTGCACAAATCTGCAGCAGGAGTAGATTGTATAGCAATTCCACAGTCGTGAATGCACAGGGCCCTGAATATAGAGATGTTCAGTCATAAAAAAACGGAACTACAATTTAGTCTTTACAAAGTTACTATGTTAAAACACCCAAACAGTAAGAGATTCCTAGGGTTCATCCCTGGCTGCAGTTACACTAATCTGGTACAACATAACCTTATATTCAACTCTGCTAGTTACCCAAGAATAGAAAAATGTTCCTTACAAAGGATTCAAATTCATAGGGACCTCACATTATGAATGTCTGCTTAATATTGGGTCACTTCCCTATCCAGCTCAAGACACTTCCTTGCTGCAGCATCCGAGCTGGCACTGAGTCAAGTACCTTAGTTACTAAATCCATGGGAGGAAAGGACACACTGGCATTTGAACAGAACTGTATTAGGAGAACAGTTTGCAATACCACAAAGAAAATGAGGTACTGGGTGAAGGAAATAGCAGGAGAAAATCCATGATGGGGAATTGTTTCAGTGGTAACAGTGATGAAGTAAAGCAATTCCCCACTCTTTTCTTCTCTCTCCACCCTCCCCCCATTCCATCCCATCCCCTCCCTTATATGCTTGGAAAACTTTGCTCTGATTATCATTTGAGATGTGCTCACAGTCCTCTCTAAGAGACTAATCCTGTTACCAAAATGACAGGTCCAGAGGCTATAATTAAGTTTTATGTCCCCCAATGATTTCCAAGTTCCTTTCTTTGATAAATAGCAGTGCAGAACAAGGGAAAGTAGTAGTCAGCCATTTACAATTACCACCAGGGTAAATAACATGTAAATGAAATGATCAAAATGTTCTTATCAAACTATACATAACAGAAAAAGACAGTAACTTGAGATTTTAACACAAATGGCAAAATTGCCATAGTTTTCTACTGTTTCCAGCTATTACCTAACAAACCAGTTGAGCAGTAGCAGCTTTTTAATTGTTAACAAAAATAAATAAATATCAAGGAAAAACAACAAAAAAAAGTCTTGTTTCCTTTGGCATCTCTGAAAATGACTTACACTACTGCAAGAAAATCCAAGAAATATGATCAATGAATAAAACCTTAGAAAGCAGTACAGAAAGACTATAGCAACTGTGTTTAGTATTGCACGGATGGGAGTTAAAAATTTACTGTCTGTGTTCTGCAAGTATTTTTAAAGTATGAACACATTAGATAGACGACTGCAGGGAGTAATCCTGCATTAGTTAGGTCTTTTCCATCTCTATTTTCTAGTTCTGTTCCCCCTACTACTTTGCTCCAGGTGTTTAATAATATTCCCCATTGCTTCCAGTATCATTTACAAACTGGATCTTCTATGAAGTATGACACTGTTACAGCTCATTTTATAGTTCAAGCAAAATGAATGTACATTTCCCCCCACTTATTAGACTATTGCTTAAGAGAAGACAGTCACGGAAAAGAAGCCTTTTATGGTACACTATCATCCACAATCCCCAGTCTCTACTCAGTTTCTATTTTAGCTGAAAGTTTCATGTCTGATGTATTTTCAGAAGTATCCAACTGTATCCATACAGACATGACAACTTTCTTTAGATGGATGTACTACTGTTTGAAGTTGCAAACTAATAATTTTCAAGCTTTTAAACTCAGGATGAAATGTAATTTTAATACGAATAGAAAGACTGACTATTTACAAGCGAAGGTAATTTCAGTTCTCGTTTATCAGAAACATCAATCCAAAAGAAAGTTAAACTGAGAACACACTTCTACTTCTATGTGCATTTGAAGTATGTACAGTAAGAACACCAACACCAGCCTCCATGTATCAACTAGGGAAAAATGCAAACGAGTGAATTTTTAAAGTACCTGGTAAGCAATCCTTAGACTGAAGCTCAAAATAAAGCTAGAAAGCTGTTGCAAAAAACAGCTGATTGCATCACAGCAAGTACTCAAAGAAAAATATTTCATTAGTTTTTTTTAAATTCTCAGTATACGAGAATTGTTCAGTTGTTCTTCCCCCAAATCCAGTGAATTTATACTATCCAAATTTATTGAAGGAGTTCTGACCTCTATATAACAAACAACAAAAAGCAGCTCCACTTTTTTGTGCTATGTCCAGACATACCAAACTTTTATGATTGTGTAGCAAGTATGATGGTTAAACACATTTACTGGTTATTCAAAATATACCATTTAAAGTGGCAACTAAACTACTGTTAATGGCACCCAGACCCACAGATTATGGAAGGGAATCCAGAATGATATTTTAGGTGTGTGTTGTTGGAGAGGGCAAATAAGCAGATTTCCCAGTCACCTGACTAAGAAAGAGGTTCTGAACAGGTCACCATTTTGAACTTTTGATAAATCTTGAAACTGCTTTCAGGAAAAAAGTTAACAAGAACATTCAAGTACTTAAATGGTGCTCTCTTCAGCTACCCTATCTAAAATGTCTAGTAAAGTACAAGCATGCAAATATAGGTCAATCCACAGGCACATAGGATCCATGTTAAAAACAGTAAGATAGATGGATGAGTGACACTAACAATTTTGATGACTTTGACACTCAATGTTATCTGAATAATTAAATCAAAATCCTGAAGCAAATTCCTGCTAGTCTTGGTCACACTGCTAAACACTAAAGTAGGCATGTTCCCCCCCGCCCCATTGTTTTAGCTGAGCTCAAAGAATTTTTACAATATTTAGTAAGAAAAAATTAAAGTATTTCCCCTTTTAAATTTACACAGACGTTTAATTAGCTTTATTTACAGAGCAGTTTTTCAGTCTCCAATAGTGCTTAGATAGCATCATCAGGCAAGAGTGCCAGTTTTAAAAGAGAATCTATATAGAATCCTAAAAATAACAGATGGTGATGCTCCTCAGAAAGGGCAAGCTGGACTACAGAAGCAGCTCTTTACATGGCTCAGTTACTCAGAAGTAATTCTGTTGCAGTCTCTACATCCCATGATTTTGAAGACAAGGCCACTATTACTGCATTCTGTAAAAACAAAATGAAGGAAGTGAGATTTTTCAGGGTGTGAAGTTGCTCTTCACATAAACCCAGCTGTAGCACTGAAAGTCAGACTGAAAACTTTACACATTTATCAAGATCTATATTTGCTAAATTACCAGTCGTTACAGTCTCAACTGAGAATTTTTAGCATTAAAAGCATAGTAATTTTCATTTTATAATTAAATGAACAGATTTTTCTAAGTACTTTATTAGTACATAAGACATCCTATGTTAAACATCCAGTCGTTGTCACCAAGAAGAAAAACAGTCAGCAAAATAAACTGATCAGATTTATTGAGGGCTATGAAAATAGCAAACCTTTTATTATAATTTGAGCTATAGCTCATATTACATATATAGCTGCCCTGCCCCTAACTTGTAAAAAAAAAAAAAAAAAAAAGTACACATATATACACACATACTTACCCTATCAAAGCCCATAGCACAAAGGTTTTCTATTTTTTTGGTGTATTCTGGACTAGAAACTGGTGCTCCAGCATACACATGTGCCCAAAGTCGAGCTGTCTGTTTGAACATTTCTGGGTTTTGTTTGTACTATACAAAAAGAGAAAAAAGTAAATCCATATAACTATTTAGCAAAGTCCAATTAAAAGGCTAGCTGATTTTGGCAAATTCCATTCTGTAATTCCTTCTATATATAGTATCTTCAAATCTTGTAATTAGTCGTAGTTCCAAAATGAAATTTGGAGTTTTTGGTTCGTTGTTGAGGATTCAAACCTACACAAACATTACTCACAAGCATCAGGTAACAATGAGTTTGCATTTATATTCTGATAAGACAGTTTATATACTTTACATGTACAATCAAATTCTGCTCAGTTACTGACATAAAGCCAGAGTAACTACACTGATGTTTGTCCAGATACGCAATATGCATAACCAGTGTAGCTGAGAGCAGAAACTAACTCACTGTGTTGTAATGTTCACTGAATTGCACACACACTATATTTCTTACAGCGTTTCCCCCAATTATTTTTTTTTAAAAAAGTCTTTTTTAGAACCTTCATTACTGAGAAAAGGTCTGCAGTGTCTCAATGAGGGTTGCCATTTTACTACTAGACTTCCTCCTGGGAAGTAGGTATATTGATATCATTGGTGACAAAAAAAAGGAGCTGAGAAACAGATTGTCACATGGAAATGGCTGGAGGCCTGCCACTGTTTTGAAGGTAGGTTTACTTACTAGAAAAATTGTGTGGAAGATGTAAGTGTTTACACTAATACTGCCAAAAAACAAATTCTCATATGTAATAGAACTTTACCTTAAAACAACAATGAAAGTTTCCAGCCTGTGTCAGGCATTCGAAAGCTGAGGTATGCTTCATTTGTCACAAATTACATTTTCAGATCAGCAAGATAGGAGCGCCCTGTTTTAGTAATCCTTATATTTAATAACAGTTTTTAAAATTGGAAATTTACATACTTTTAAAGCAAGTTTCTCATTTTTACCATATAAATTATAAAATAAATCAACTGGAATATAAATATCGTATTTACATTTCAGTGTATAGTATATGGAGCAGTATAAACAAGTCATTGTATGAAATTTTAGTGTGTACTGATTCGCTCATGCTGAAAAACAAGACAAATATCTAGATGAGTTGATGTACCCTCTGGAAAACCTCTGAGTACCCCCTGGTTGAGAACCACTGGCCTAGGAGACCAGTCATGGACGAGAACCCCATTGTGGTAGGCACTATACACCACCTCCATTGCCCCCAAAAAGTGTGTCCCTGTCCCAAAGACCTTACAATCTGTGTCATTTGTATAATCTCAAAATGAATTATACATTACAATAATTTAAGAAGCAATGCTCCTTAAAAAATGCAATGGTAACAGATGAAGATGACTATATTAAGGTTGGGGGAAGTCCCCTAAACTGGAAGCAATCCACTTCATGAAGTGGCCAATAAATAGCACTGTATTGTCATTACAACTGAAGGAAAGTTTAAACAAACCAAATATTCACAAAAAAGGTTTGGTCTTTTAAAAAATAAATACTTAAACTATTAATAGCATCCTAAAGTTTTTGCCTGTTTTTTCTCTGAGACCCAAAAATAAATCCATGAAGGTTTCTTTTCAGCTATATTTTCAAATACATATTTCAGAACACTATTAGTTCATTTGTTTGCTTTCTAGGCTTCATTTTGAGAAGAGGAAAAGTTTAAAATTGTTTAATAGAGAATGTTCGCATAACAACCTTATTCAAGTCTAGGTTTTAGTGCTTCAAGAACATGCACAAGAGTCTGTAGTTACTGGTAAATATCTGGCTCTTGATTGAATAGCCAAGAAATTTAGAAGAAAAAATTTGCATCTGCATCTACATCTAGATCCTTTGATTGCTGTACTATACTTAAAAGAGCCGCAAAGTTCTAAAACTAGACTTGGTTGTGCACATTTCTTGGCTTTAAATCCCATCATCTGCAGGAGGCGTAGCTGGAACCCTATGTCTATTACATGGAAATGTGGTAATTCAACACGTGTAAATAAATTCATGAATTTAAAATGTTTATAAGAAAACATGCAGTGTAGTTATAGCCACATCACTCCCACGATATTAGAAAGACAAGATGGGTAAGGTAATATCTTTTATTGGACTAAATTCTGTTGGTGAGAGAGACCAAGTCACACAGAACTCTCCTTCAGGTACTCCCAATGTATAGCTAACTGCAAGACTGAACAGATTGTTTAGCATGGGTAAAAAGAAAAGGAGTACTTGTGGCACCTTAGAGACTAACAAATTTATTGGAGCATAAGCTTTCGTGAGCTACAGCTCACTTCATCAGATGCATTCCGATGTAGCTCACAAAAGCTTATGCTCCAATAAATTTGTTAGTTTCTAAGGTGCCACAAGTACTCCTTTTCTTTTTGCGAATACAGACTAACACGGCTGCTACTCTGAAACCTAGCGTGGGTAGTCAAGCACATTCTCAGGGACCATTCAAGATAGAGTGACCCATTAACACCTGATACAGTCCTCATCCTCAAAGGAAACCTGCACAACACTTTCAAAAGACGAGCCTGGGAGCTTAAATTCATAACTCTGCTAGAGACTAGAAATCCTGAACTGAACAGACACACTGAATTTATGGCTTATTATAACAAGCTGTAACCCACTAACTCCTTCTTTTTGTCATATGATGGCAGGGATGTTAACAGGCTGTCGCCTTGAATGGTCCCTTAGAATATGTGCTAACTGCTTATGCTAAACAATCTGTTCCACCTTGTATTTTAGCTGTGACACTGGAAGTACCTTTTCCAGACCAGAAGAGGAGCTCTGTGTGGCTCGAAAGCTTGCATCTTTTACCAACAGAATCTGGTCCCATAGAAGATATTACCTAACCACCTAGTCTCTGTGAAAATGACATTCCAACAAGCATGTGAGGGATTATCCTTGTGAATGTTTAATCTGTAAATATATAAAATATATTTTATATAAGTATATTTGTATTTATTTTGTATAACAAATTATATTTAAATTAGTTTCTTTGCTAACTTTTATTCTTTATACTAACACATTAGTGACAGTTGCATGTAAAAACATCAACTGTTATAATTAAGAGCTAAATCCTTATACCTTTGCAAAACCCAGTAAAATTACCTTTCTGCAGATCTTTGCAGGTAGTGGGGGCATCAAAATCCTCCCTACAACAGCAGAGCCACAGAATCACTGGGCATGCCCCCACCAGCCCACCATAAAACCCTGGTGTGAAGTAGCACATAGCACTGCTCCTCAGCACTCAGTGGTTTAGCCCAACAGAAGAACTTTACAAAAAGGTTTTTCATTTCTGAAGATAAAACCTCTTCACCCTCAATATTGCTAGAAGATTGTTTGACTGCTCTTATAAATCCCACTGTCAGTATGTAGGGAGGGAAATAATATTTCAGTTGTCATTGCTGGAGCAATAGTTTTTATTTTAACCAAAAATGAAACCCCCACCAATGTGAGAGCAAGGATGAATGTACATTTAGCAAGGAAACTGGTGCAGACATGCTTTGTACAAAATATATGGTAGCCCTGCTTGTCTTTGCAACAATTCAGGCATGAACACAGCAACTCAGGCTCTGAGAGAACTGCTTGGGTGCATTCATTCACACAGCAAGCATTACAACATCATTATATCAGTGCTTTCTAGGACGTCTGCACCTGCTACTGAGAGCAGGAACTTTGGTGTAGTTTCTCAAACAGCTTCTCCCAGGTAGCGAAGCATTGATCTCAATTTGGTCTGTCTGCTTTTTTCTGAAAGTCAGTTTGGCATAATAGGGAGCTACTGTAAAATCTTTCAAAAGCCTGCTAGCTTAGAGTGACAATCAGATAGGGGGACCTGACTAGAGCTGGGCAAAATGTAGTGGCATTACAATGTTTTGCCAAAACTGACTTGGTAAAAAAAGTTCTGAAAATGTTCAGTTTTGGTATTTTCAATTGTTTGCTTCACATTTTGTAAATTGTATTTTAAAAGTAAAAGAAATGCTTCAAACTAAATAAACTATTTTGTTCAATCCGCAACAATTTCTTTGACTTTTCTGATTTTTTTGGACTTTCCAATGAACCAAAATGCCCATTATTTGCTCAGCTGTCATCCTGGCACCCTTACTGCCTGTCCAGAATTTCACAGGTATGACTCCACACTTTTAACCATACTCTATAGCAGGGGTTCTCAAACTTCATTGCACTGTGACCGCCTTCTGACAACAAAAGTTACTACACAACCCCAGGAGGGGGAGGCCAAAGCCTGAGCCCACCACCTGTGGCAAGGGGCCAAAGCTGAAGCCCAAGGGCTTCAGCCACAGGCAGGGGGCCTATAACCTGAGCTTTTTGGCCCCAGGCGGTGGGGCTCAGGCTTCGGCCCTGGGCCCAGCAAGTCTTAAGCCAGCCCTGGTGACCCCATTAAAACAGGGTCCCGACCCACAGTTTGAGATCCCCTGCTCTATAGGATGTTCACATGTAAGTTAGATGTACAAGTTTACTAGATACTGGAAGCACTCAGCTTTTTTCCTTTGCCACTGTGAAGTACGACCTTCACCTTTTACCCTCTGACTTACAGAAGCAATGTTTGGGTCTTTGTTCAACAAAAGTTAACAAAATGTTCACTTGTGGATTGATTGTATCTAGTTTTCAACACATTTTTAAATGGCCACACATGAGTTCTAGTAAAATACATTACACTAAGGCTATTTTCAAACTAACACTACTTTCTGTCTCTGTATACTGGGCCAGACAGTTTTACAAGACAACTACAATTCTATTAATATCAATTAGGTTATTAACTAAAACAGTTAATTTTAGAGTCTGCAAACATCAAATACATAGGATGCTTCCTTCATAACTCTTTAGATTATTTAAGATGAAATTTTTTTAATTCAATGTAACTTTTCATTATGCTGTTTACTCTCTGCATTTCTCTCAGACTAAATAAGGAGAAAAACAAAAGTGAAATTTGATTTTATAATAACCAGGATCACTTCCAGGTTCTCAATGCTGCACTGTCGGGGTTGCAAAAAATAGCAAAGGAGCAGGGTTTTTTTAAACAGTTTGTCATTTGGCCTTAAAATCTATAAAAGCTATTATCTCCAAAAACTAAATTTGGTATGAAATATTAATAGACAAGGTCCCTTTAAGAGGAAGATAATTAATAAAAGGTTTTTGTTTTACGTAGTTCACTGAACATCTTACCTGATTTGCCACTACTGCATCTTGTGGATCGTCTGGTTCTGCAGCTGCCAACAGTGCTTGCAATGATAACAACACTGTCCTTAGAGTCATTGCTGCTGCCCTAAAATTGAAGTTTGAAAATGGCTTTACTGAAATCTGGGTCTTTTTTTACTTATGTTCGATGTGCTCTACTAATACCATACAAAGGGAACAAAAATACTGGGAACCACAAGCATGAGTAACTTGGAAGTGCAGCAATTTATAATGGGATACCATTCATATTCTTTTTAGAGTTCTTAATGTGTATTTTAACACTCTCCCTCTTCTTAATAATACTTTCTTAGAAATCAGGAACTAACATTTCCCAGTTTAGTAGTTTGTCCTTTTTCATTTTGCAAAAGATTACGTTTGCTTCTGATTAAATAAAAGCCAACTAAAGTCTGCCTCCTTTTCTTCTTTGCCATCAGCATCACCAGTGTCTAATGTCAGCATCGCTCTGCGAATTAGATTGGTTACTCAATGTGTGTTCCCTCCGCTGGCTTTCAGTCTGTAGCAAAATGGCCAAATGATGTACAAACTTACAAAAGCAGAGGCTTATTTGTTTTTAACTTTTTAGTAACAACAGTCCAAATTTTAGTGGCCATTTAATTTATAAAAAAATATTTTCCCCAATTTTAATCAATTAATTTTGTAAATATATTTTAAACTTAGCTCTAAAGTTCATATTATCTGAAGAGCACTAGCATAACTTTTCTTCATGTTAGGCTGAGGGCACTGCCACAATTTTAACAAAAATGTAAAACATTAGGATAGAAAAAATACTCCTTAAGTCACCAGGCAGATTTGGGCCTTGATCCTGCAATAAGATCCAGGCCAAGAGGCTTGCAACTGCAAAGAGCCCTACAGAGGTCAATGGTGATCTAGAAATGCTGATATTTGACCACAGAAATCTCACTGCAGGATGAGGGCCTTACTCAACTCAAATTCAATGTGCACTTAGAGTCAGAGGCTGCAGGAATTTATGTTGAATCCCAGACAAAACACTGAGTTAAAATTATAAATAACTATAGTCAAATCACTCAAATCTCATTTTAAAATTTTAATAAAAAACCAGAAGTTTGAAAAATCTGGAAATTTATATTTAAGATTTCACAGTTAAGCTTTACTCTGAGCCAGTGCCCATCCCTCGATTTACCTAGAGATTCAGGTATATAAGATGTATATGCGACAGATGTCATCTTGGTCAACATACTGGATATTAAACCAGGTACCCAAAGAGCTAAAAGCATGAGTTTTCACAGATTCAGCTGAAAAGTCAGGCTGTATCGCTGGGGGCTGTAGTCAACTCTTACTGTGGATCACGCTAGGGAGAGAGGTGGACAATGCCCAGTACAGTACACATACAACTATTTTACATTTAGGTACTTTCAGAGATGGTACACAGAAATGAGTCTCTTACAACACAATGTTTGAGGCATGTATGGTTATGAAGGAGGAATGTGTTGTGAAATATGAGAGGCACATTATTCTTTGCAGTTGGAACACAGACAGCCCAACTTTTAGTTAACAGTGGATCTGACAAAGTTGTTTCTGGAGGGCATACAGAGAATGAAAGGAAATGCTGTAATTCCAGTTGTCAAAGTACGGGTGGAGAAGAGTTTGGGTTGATGGCACAGATCTGATGAGTTGGAAGGAGTTTACAGATCTATATTTCCGGTAGAAAAGTTCACAATGTGTTGTCCATAATGGTAAAGAACTGTGGCATGACAATGTGGCTGGATGCAAAGAGACTGTTGGTGGACAGACAAAATATAGGTGCCAATGCAATGTCAGAATTAAGGTTGTTTGTGGAACCTTAACTATGTATTTCCAGGTATTTGTAACTTCCTTGAAGATTTTGCCTGGGAATTTCTTTAACATTATAGATAATCCTCCCTCCAGTTCCTTGAGGAACTGTGGTATTTTTTTCTCCATCAAAATGCAAATGATTACATCCCAAGTGGCATATCTTGTCTCCTGCTTGGTAGTATTACACCCTAGTTTTTCACAGCTACATCTGCCACCTTCTCAAAGTCCCTCAAGCTGACTTTGCAGACTTTATTAACTCTGCAGAGGCTCTAAGCTTTGAAAGATTAGCTACAGACTTTAAACTCCTACAAAAGTAGTCATACAGCCTTCCTGCTTCCACAAAAGTGAAAGTTCTCATTTTTCAAACGCTCACTTTTCTCAAATATTTAGGCAGATATTTCCAAAAATTTCAGATTGTTTCACTTCCAGCAAAATGCCATATTTGATGTTACAGGTAGATTTTTTTTTTACTTATTATTCTAAAGTAAATTGGAGATTGACTGGCAAGATTAAAAAATAAACAGGCTTATAATGAATATTTAGTTACTAAAGCAGCTCTTTAACCTTGCTATGAAATCTTAACTATGCAGAAAGTTTAATCAAATCATAATACAAAGCATCTGAATTTTTTTTCTTCAAACCATGATGGCACAAAACTGAGTACAGTAACTCACTTAAAAGTCGTCCCAGTTAACATTGTTTTGTTGTTACGTCGCTGATCAGTTAGGGAACATGCTCGTTTAAAGTTGCGCAATGCTCCCTTATAATGTTGTTTGGCAGCTACCTGCTTTGTCCACTGCTTGCAGGATTCTCTGGAAGAGTAGCCCCTCCTTGTGGGGATTAGAACCAGGGGGGCCAGCAGCTTCTCCCCCATCCCCGATCAGATCCCCTACATTCCTTGTAAGGTATGTGGCTCAGCAGCTGCCCAGCAGCAGTTCAGCTGTCCCTCCACCGACCTGCCGCTCCTGCCCTGCCCTCTGCCTTGGAGCTGCTCCCGTGAGCTTCCTGCTTGCTGGGGGAGGGGGGTGCTGATATCAGGATGTCCCCCTGCCCGTATCCCCTGGTTTCCCCTCTCCACAAAGCGGAGAAGGGGGACAGGACTCAGGGACAGAAAGGAGGGAACTTGCTGGAAGCTATTGCTTCCTGTCTGAATTGGCTGATCTGCTTAAAAGGGCAACGTACTTGAACTGGGGTCAACGCACTTAACGGGATATGGCAGGTCTCTGTCTGTCTCTGTCTCATGTACGCACCCCTCAGCACTTTGGAAAGTCAGCACCTGCGCAGCTGTGCATGTGCCGTCAGGAGGAGGGAGTGGTGCACTCCTGCTGGATAGCATGGGCTCATCTTCATGTTCAGTTTTTGCAGGAAAGTGTTTGCAGCTACTGCCCTGCATCTATTGTGTTTCCTCCCTCCTGCCTCAGTCCATGCTGCCTTGTAGAGCGTGAGGAGACATTAACAGCAGCGTATTAAGGGCTCAGCCAATTGCTAGTTCATCATTTAGCAGCAAGGCATTCCCTAGGAAATATTCCACCCTCTTACTCCACAACCTCAACCAAGCTTCACAATCATTCATTGCCATGTACAATATTAAACTGTTTGTTTAAAATTGTTTAAAACATATACTGTTTATGTATATAATGTCTTTTGTCTGGTGAAAAAAATTTCCCTGGAACCTAGTCCCGCCCCACCTCCCCATTTACATTAATTCTTATGGGAAAACTGGTTTTGCCTAACATCGTTTCACATGAAGTCACATTTTTCAGGAACATAACTACAACTTTAAGCGAGGAGTTACTGTACCTAGGCATTGAAAACACTTCTATACTTCAGTGTGTTGTGAGGGGAAAACAGCATATGCACATTGTGCAGCAAAAGTCTATAAAATCATAATGTAGCTGTTAATCCTACCAAGAGTAGATTTTGGATAGAATTGATCTAGACTATGGTTTGATGACAAACGTAAAATTCACTACAGTATAAGTTTCTATTTACTATAATGCTTTTTCTATTCAAATGGATATTTGACGAGCATGCTGAATCTTCGCCTGCAGCTCTAAATAGGAAAATAGTTTTTCAATTTGTAAAACACTTAGATGTCACTGAACTCTAATCCTTTTTGTCTTTGTGTACTTAAATGATCATCATCACAGTTTTTGCACTTAAACAGATTTATGCAAGGAATTTTAGAAGCTGCGACCAGCTTTGTATATACTATAAAATCTAACTAAAGCTCTATTTCTCAGCCAAACAGCATTTTTACTACATTGTTTCCATTTAGTATAATTTTATTTATTCAAGAGGGACTTTACAAAAGATCTACCACCAGTAATTGGTTTCATGGTTACTTTTTCTGAACTAAATAAAAGTTATTCTGCACTGCCCTTTATGGAAGTCTTCTCAAACTAATGGAGAAGGAAATTAATGGTGTGTCACTGCAAATATTTAAACTGGGAATGCAGGTCAGGAGACCTGGGTTTTCAGCACAGCTATGCCACTGATAAGTCTCTTCATATATCTGAGCCTCAATTCTTAACTTCTATCTCATAGGAATAAAGATGATACATATATACCTCACAAGGGTATTGGGAGGCATAATTTGGTTTGTAAAGCAGAAAGAGATCCTTGGACAAAAGGTGGTATATATAGTATAGTGTGTGAGCTGAAGTAGAGTTCAGAAACTCCTAATTGCAGCCTCTGCAAAACGCACACCATGCTGTCTGTGATGTTAGGGACTGTCAGTCCCATGAAACGCTTGGTCAAGTCTGTCAGATGTTTGATGAACTTCTCATAAAGTGTGTTGGGACTTGATGGACTTCTGACATTCCAATTTCTAAGGTGAGCAATGCCACAGATAAACACCTCATCCAATCAAATATAGTCCTAGGCGCTAGCTCTCAAATGACTCTTGAATTTTACAAATCTGAAGTTTATAGGCAAACTGATTCAGCTACATATTCGAAAAAATTAACTGGTTTAAAATGTGATTTCAGCTATTTTCAAAGTCCCATCTCTCAGCCGTGCCTCTCCACAATAAAAACATTGGAAAATAAGGAATGGTTACAAAAAACTGGTCATATTTAATACAAACACTTTACACTAACGTAACATCTTCCACTCTCAGGGTATCAACATGCTTTATGAATACTGATATAGCCTCAACACCTGCAAGATAAATTTTTCATCTCTATGCTTTAGTTTCCATATCTATGAAATAAAGCTAAATAACCTCCAAACAAGAAGTTTGTGGGACAGCTTAAAATAGAATTCTTGCTT